CTTTTCCAAAGGCTGTTATGTTAGGGCGGAGTCCTCACCGAGTTACACTAATTAACTCCTGAGCAGTTTAAAGAGATTAACATTACTGTTAATGGTTTCAACTTTGAAATGGTAGCTAACGACATATGTAGATTTTTGATGGCATTATTCATTCCTAAAGGTCTGTGTCAGTCTCGGCTGAAAACTCTGCATTAAATCAGGTGGTTTCATTTAAAATAAAACAATGTTTTAGGACCTTTTTGCATCAAAAACTGAAATACCAACAATAGAGCTCAAATATTATGTATGTATACAGGTTTTTATATCATGTCACGCAGTTGCAAACACAAGCGGCTCTTCATGAGTAGATGAGAACTAACTGTGCACAGTGACACGGCTGCTTGCAGAGATAATCGCTCATACGGGAAACTGCTTAAGAAGGTTGGCAATTTTTATTTTTATTTTTTATAACCAGGACATGATTTCTGCACTACATTTTATATGTATTTTATTTTTGTTTTTTCTTTCTTTTTGGGCAGTTTTTGGTTTATAATCCCATTATTTTCAAGAGAAGTTGCACATTTTTCTGCAGCCAGTATCTCTAAAACTGGGAAACTTAAATATTCTTGCTTTAGCTATTGAAGCTAACAGTATAATTGTCTCTTTAAGGGTAACTGCTGCACCCTTTCATTTCATCACCATGCAGTAAATAATTAAAGTACTGGTTTTCTTTTATCAGCCATGGTTTAATCTGCACGCACCTGCATAAAGAGTCAAAAACGCCTCAAAGGTGTTCCCGTGCTGACTATTGAGTGCAGTGCAGTCAGGTTTAATATGAGCGAGCTATAAAATGAGAAGCTCTGAAAGATGCTCTACAATAAGTGGGGTTTATAAAAAAGAAAAAAAAATTGAAGCTACTGAAATGACACGTGTGGTTGCACGTAAAGGCCGCGGCAGTTGGTTTTGGTTTTGTTTTCCTGTTTGCTGTTGCATTACTGGCACTGACAGCTGTTTACAGCAAGTCTTCCCCTTGCACATGCATATGCATATCGGCTCGTAGGTTAAAACAGCAGCCAGGTTCAAACTGTATCCCTAAAGTGCCTGAGCTATGGTGTTTTCAGCTCAAAGTGTAGTGGGTTTCTTTGTGGTGTGCAATTCTCAGATAAATCAATAAAACAGTCTCGGTGGATGGTGGCAGCTTCCTGTGATGAAAATGTTAAAACTGCATCATAATAGTGAAACTGCAGTTCCACCCACATCAGTGCTGCAGCTAATGGGATATAATAAGAAAAAAAATACATACTGCGACAAATGAAATATCTCGCAAATCTTTTGTTTTCTTCTTCTGACCAATTAGGCACCAACTCATCCAGTTTACAACATCTGTCCAGAGAAGGTGGCTCAGGCCCTGCAGCACTTTCTCCGGATGCCCGTTCCCGAGGTCAGCAGGCAGCCGGGAGGCTCCGGTGAAGACAGACCGTCAGATGCTGCTGCTGCCTCCTCATCAGCTGACCTTCAGTCCTAGTTGGTCCTCAGCAGTAACGTCACTGTGCGTTTTTAAAAAAAACAAAACAAAATAACAAAAATCAGCCAACTCTGGGGATCGCCCCTGAGCCGGGAAGCTGTTGTCAGGTATTTTGTGGACAAGCGGGATAGTTGACCCTCGCTGCAGACCAGTGCTGAATTTTACCCCAAATAAAGGTCAACGGTTTTGCAAGGGCAGCCTCACATTCAGTTGAATATGTTTTATTTTTATTTTTTTTGCTTGCATTGTCTGTTTTCATTCTCTGAAATAAAGGTGGAACTTTATAAGGTTTCAGTAGGTTAATAAAACTTGTTAGAGCTTTTCTCATGATGGTGTTAGGGTGCTAAGGGGGTCGGTCAGGTGTTTTTTCTGAGTTTGTATGTTATACACGTATTATATTCACTGGCCAGTTCATTAGGTACACCAGTTCCACTGCTTTTGTAAAGCAACCAACAATAGGGCAGCAACTTGGTGTATTTACACACACAGGCATGGTCAAAACAACCTCCTGAAATTCAAACTGTGCTTTTTTTTTATGCCACATACTCTTCTGTCTATCCCTTTGTGACCACACTTGTATGGTGTATCTACTGTGTCACACATCTGAAATCATCCCGAACTGGTTTCGTGAATGTAACGAGTTCACTGTACTCAAATGGCGTCCGCAGAGCTCAATCCAGCAGAGCACCTTTGGGATGTGTTTGAACAAGCGATTTGCATCATAGATGTGCGGCCAACCAATGTGCAGCACCTGTTTGATGCTATTATGTCAATATGGGCAAGAGTCACATGTCAGATGTTTCCACCAACTTGTTAGAGGAGGATCTAACTTGGTACTAGTGTACTTAACAAAGTGGCTGGCGAGTGTATAATCGCACTCGGTGTAATTTCCCTTTAACTTGAAGCTCAGCAAAACAGGATGCAGTAGATCCTCACCAGGTGTTTGTGTTGCTAAATTAAAAGGTAGCAAACTGTGTCGAGTCCATGATTACAGGACAAATGGGGACAAAGTACTAAGACAGCTACTTAACTCTTTCTCCCATAAAGATCACATTTTATGACCTCCTTTGTACCCTTAATGATGACTTGACACCTCAGTGTGTAACAATAAAGATGCGGTTTGATGACCATTAGGATATTTTCCAGGTTTTCAGATGACAGCTAGATGATGCAGACCCAGTCATTTTGTCCTATAAGCAGGCCTGAAGTCTGAAAGACGCTCAGTTCAGGGAAGAGCATCAAGGGTTACTGCTAGTAGGCTTTCAAAAGGGTAAAGCGTTATTGTAGATCTTAAAAGGTTTACGTTTGAGGTCATTTTAGACTTTACAAAAGACAGAATAAATCTATACAAAATCCGATTTAGTTTTTCTCATCTCAGTAGTTGCACCCTCCTATTTTAAACTGGAGCTTTTGGACATTTGCCAAATGATTTATTGCATCAGCTTTATAAAGGCAGCGTGTCTAGGCTCATTCCATGCAAACATGTTATTTACAGTAATGGGAATGGCAGTTACAAGTGGATACTGGGGAAGGGAGACTCGGCGCTTGAATAGGTCATCAAATTGGTACATGTGTGCAACTCAGGGCAAAGAACATGACATATTAAAGCAATTAAAATATTTCCGATGCTTGTAGACTTTTCTAAAATCCAGGGAGTGGTTAAACCGGAGAGCAGGAAACACACACAAAAGTATCCTCTAAATAAGAAGGGAATGACCATGAACAGACAGAGTCGGCTGGGGTTGGCCGCTGCTCAGCCACCTGGTTAAAAAACGACTCTCGTGTAAAAATGGGAAATTATAACACATCAGGTAGACAAACAAAACCAGAAAAACCTGACTTCACTACACCTGCACAATAAATCAGTTAAATTCAGTTTGAGTCTTTAATGTTCCCACGTACAGCTTCGTTAAGCCGCCGCCACACATTTTTTCGATCACGCCATGTGGCTGCATTGTTCAGTTCGATTGCACATTTTCAGACTTCTAGAAACTGTTAACGGTGAAATGCATTTTAAAATTTGAAAAACAAAACATGGAAACCATAAGGATGATGACACAGGTCATTAATGACCAAACAAGATTTTATCTATGATGGGTATTTCCATTTCCAGTTTGGTCTTAAATTTGATTTAGAGGCATAGCTTTGGGCCAACAAGTGAATCCCAAAGAGCTGGAAATGTGCCGTATATGTGTGCAGTGAGTCCTTAAAAAATTGAGGAAATTCAACAGGTGGAGGAGGAAAGAAGTTCCAAGGCTCTTTCTTTTCAGTTGAAAATTTCAAATGTTTTTATTCTTATGGCACCGTCATGTTTAACTTAAAAAACAAAAACCTTCCAACATATTTTGGCACACAAGCCTTCATCAGGGGAATCAGTAGATCAATTCTGGGTCCCCGTGTATGATTTATTGTAGATTTCTTTAACATTTTGTGCAAATTTTTTTGAAAAGAAAAGCCTTTGAGTTTTTCGATGTTTAGTGCCTCAAATAGCAGCTAAACAGTTGACATTTAGCATTTCAGTTGATCAATCTACTGTTTGATAAGGTCTCGTCCTAAATGGTCTCATTGGAAAGGCAGCTGTCAAGAAGCCATTCTTTAAAAAAAAAGAAAAAAGAAATTGAGCAGAGTCCAATATTTTAGCACTTTCACACACCGAAGGAAATGCTGATCAGTGACCACAGACAGACAGCTAAAGGATAAAATAGTTTATTTTATAGTCTCATAGTAAAGGTAGGCCTCAACTTGCAAGACAATTGTTGGCAGTATGTACAACATACTTGTAATTTCCATGGAATGGAACTGGACAAAGACCTACTACACTAATAATATCCTTCTAAATAGAAATTAAATGGAAACAATATACATACACACACATTTCCTAGACACGAAAATGCTTCCTTTTTTTTTTTTCCTTGGAGGGGGGGGGGATTCAGCAACATTGATTTTTACTGTGTAAAGCACAACACACTGACATGGACTTCTTTTGCTTCCCTGTACTGCAGGAGACGGGGGCTACTTTTTCAGATTCAAAACCTAGTTCATAACCTTGAAGAAAACTACATGTGACAAAATCGGCATCATCTCATGACTTGTGTGATCACTAAAGAAATGCATAACATACTGTTTGAACTTGAAAACATCCAATTAATGCTTTTTTGAAATATATAAAACGAGATGCCTAATGTATTCAGCCACCTAAAGTCATCCACTACTTCAAGCTAAAGGACAAAATACGATATAAGTTCAGGAATATTCTCCTTCAAAACATCAATTTCAACAGAACAGGTTTCTCTCTCTCTTTTCTTTTTTTAATCATCTTGTGTTGACAAGTGTGTGCTGCAGGAAACGTCTGCAATCCAGTGGGGCTGAGGTGGGTTATCACTTTTAACATTTGCTCCGAGCATCTTCACATTCTTTACTGGAAAAAAAAAAGAAAGCTACAAATGTTTTATTCATTTTTAAAAAGGTAAATCTTTCCAAAACATTTTTTTTTAAATCTAGGTGTGTGTGTAAATTCTAAACAAAAAAAACAAAAAAAATACATAACATAGCAGTGCTTGAAAGAGTACACCTGGCTCATCCTTCCTCCCAAAGGAAAAAAAGATAACTTGGGGGAGGAGGAGGAGCTTTACTGAGGGTACACACACACACACAAAAGAGCCTCGAGTCCTTACATAGCCAAGCTGCCTCTTTTTAGGATTTGGATTGATGTTGCTAAAGAAGGGGAGGATACCAATGATGGAGAACAAAAATCAACAGAGAAAGAGGGGTGGAGGAGGAGGGGAACCTGAAGCTCTCTAGGTGGATTGAAGCAGTTGTCTTTCACCCTGCTTACAACCTCTCTCCCGTGGGTGGAGACTGGCTGGAGAGAGACGATTGTGGCGGCTGTTGTGAGGAGATTTGATGGCGACGAGTCTCCAGTGCGAGCCCATCCAGAGATGGAGGAGAGAGGATGACGAGGGAGGCCGAGGTGGTCGTTGGCATGAAGGTAGGAGAGGTCGGTGAGCCTCGAGAGCTTTGAAGGCCGTCTCCCCTCTCGCCCTCCGCTGTGCTCTGCTGCCTCGACCGCACCTATTTTTTTTCCTTTTTTTATTTTTTCGTTTTAAGACGCTCGGCTCTCTAGCTGGCCTCCACGCGCACCTTCTTCCTGGTGGGTGGCTCTTCTGCCTCCGACTCCGAGCTGGAGTCGGAGCCGCCGTCGAAAGCCGACACGGCGCTGCCTTTGGGGTTGGTGTACAGGCTGCTGTCAGACGAGGAATAGTTGGCCTGGAGCTGAGCTGAGCCCTTCACTTTCTCCAGAGCGCGGACTGCGTGGACACAAAGGAACAGAGAACTCAAATTTACTGAAGAAACGATTGGTCTGAGGAAACACTGCTGATCATAATTCTCTGCTTTTATAAGCTGGACAGAAACCTGATTAGGATGCATTCAAAGCACTAACAGATTACTTTCAGCGCGAGATCTTGAAGTAATTAAACAGATTTCAAACAGTCAAACTTAAGAGTGAATCTGAATCCTGGGGCCAGAATCGCCCCAGCAAAGATACCAATCTGGATGGCATTAGAAATTGTGAAAGAGGGCATTTACTTTGGACTCTTACCTGCAGTTTCATGAGTTTAACAACTTCTCTTATTGGCAAATAGCTCTCCCGTGGCTATTCATACTACACCAAAGTAAAAAAGTAGTAAATCAACTATTAAATGACAAAAAAGTTACAGCACCAATTTCTGTAGTTAAACTTCTTTAGACTGACAGAAAGGGCAGCTTCTTTGGGCTGGCCCACTCAACATTAAATTGGGTTGTTTGTCGCCCAATGTCACATGAGCTCAATCAAACTGCTTCAAAGCCTGAAACTGGACTGTTTATTGAGCCTTCTAACAAACAAACAAACAAAAAAACCCTTAATTTTACATATATTATCTTATTTCTATCAGTTTTGCTACAGCTGGCATTTTTGTGCAATCTAATGCTTAAAAGGGGGGAAGGGAAAAAATCAGAGTGATAACGCAGGGGTCTCACAAAATTTTAGCCTCCTGAGACCTTGCATCCTTATGTGGGAACACTGCACTCAGGATTTTCTGTATCCTACACTTAACTCTGCTCAATGAAGCGTATTATACTTTGTTAAAAGATGGTGACTTATTGTATTATAGTGTAAAATAAAGCAAATGCAACCATTTTCGGCTCAGTTATCAGGAGGGTTTAAGACTTTAAGAAACAAACGTGATTCATATACATATGGAAAACATCCTCATTTTGCACAAGAGTGTATTAATGCACCATGTCTAAGCTACACCTTTCATTGAGTTTTGGAGGATTTTAGGTACATCAGAGAGCAGAACATGATGGTCCAAATTTGCTCACGGTCTAAACAATGACAATATTTAGACCTTTGTCTCTCCAAAGTCTCTGAGAAAGCTTCCTGTGCTCAACAGTTAAAACCATTTTTGTCTCTTGGATTCTCCAGTAATGCTTGGTACGAAATGCACATTTGTAGGTCCTTTTGCTTTTTATGTCGAAAATCAATCTTGTTTCCATCATTCTGAGCTTTGCCAGGTTTGTCTAATCCTTCACTCTGGTTTTAGTAACCACCATCTTCGTTTACATGACTGTTATGAGCTTACTGAAGAAAGCCGATTGTAACCTGGTTACTGAGGAGCGTGGAAATATTAGCCTTAGAGCAACCTCGGCCCTGGACGTAAAAATAGACAAGCACATCTCATACATAAACTTTAGAAACATGAGGGAGAGACATTAGAGGGGCCATTCTCTTTTAGGTGATTACATGGAGGTACAAGGAGGCATGTTATTAAACGCTCAAACATAATGATAAAATGTTGTATTTCCCCCATGTAGTTGCAGATGATCCTATAGTAAATTTAGAACAGAAAAGGGGGCAGACTTGTTCTTTTTCTAAAAAAAATAAAAATAAATCTGTTTATGCGTAAAGAGCAGTGTGTTCTGAAACTATTCACACACACACTCCTTTATCGCCAAAACATTCAAACAAACATTTATTGTTCGGCCGTCCACGCTTGCACATATCAGGTGGAAAACCTCACAGCCGACCCAAACCAGCATTAATCAGCCCGCCTCTCCCCGATAAGAAGTGTTACCTTGTTGCTCAAGCAGTGCGTTCTGCCTCTTCAGGTCGTCGATGTCCTGCTGGTGTGTGTGGTTTTTCCGCCTCATGTACTGAATGTACTCTGTGGCTTTGTCTAGGATTTGAGCTCGAGACGCCTGTTTGGTAGACTGCTGTTAGTGACACATGCAAAAATTGAAGCAATGACGCAAGTATACAGAGTCTTTATCACATTCCTAACACAGTAACTCTAACCCCTGCCATGATGCTACGCAGACTGGCCCCAGAGAGCAGCACACTGCAGACTCAAACCACTGCAGGACACTACAGGGTATCTGAGACAGCAGTGCATTTCTCTACCTAGCTTGCCTTCTTTTAACCCCCTGAAATCTGCTAGCACTTCAGTCTGACATGCATAAGCTTTGTCATACCCCTGACAAGTTACGGTCAGAGGCCTCTCCTCGATTACAGCAGACAACAAACACTGCAGCAGCAACCAGCTCAGATTACAGCTTTGCCATCATGCCTACCTGGTGTCTGTCAGCTACTTGACCTGTACAAATTATGGCTGGGTATCACTGATTTTAAAAAAAATCATTTAAAGGCTCCAACTTACCTTCTGTTTAAGAAAAACAAGTCTAATTTAAATTAAAGTGACAGTGACAGCAAGAGGTGTCCACCATAGAGAATGTGATACAATCCCCCGTTTCTGGGGGAAAAGTGAAAAGTGCCAGATGTGTATGAGTGTCAAAGAAGGTGCCGAACCAAAGTTGCCTGCAGGTTTTTCTAGTGCAAACACTCGCTAACCAGTAGCTCAGGACAACTGGAGAAAGTGCTACACTCACTGGAAATGAGAACGCTTCCCTTAGAAGTAAAAGCTGTGCTGCAGAGCTGAAGCAAACATGATTTTCATTGAATGCCAATGATCTGTTTCCTGCTTGTGACGCAACAGCTCGGAGAGTAGCTGGACCATATTTGTAGACAACTCCATCACTTCCATTCAAACAACTGCAGCAATATGCTAGCGATCAAAGCAATCACAAGGCCAAATGGTCAGGGAACAACCTAGCAACAGGTGAGTCACTGGCCGGTCTGTAGGCCTGCGTGCCTGTGTCTTTAGCAATTATTTTCCTAGCAACTGCAATCAAACCTCCAGCAACCAGTTGGGGATTATGTATCCTTCACAACAGGCAGTTACCAGGTGGTCACTGACCACTCTAAGCCCAAGGCCTTATTCAGTTGATCTTTTATTGCCACACATCCAAAATTGGCAATAAGTTAATTTCACATGGCTAGCAATGGCACGTTTACAAAACTTCAATTAAGGTCATGCGTTGCAAAGAACACGCCACTGGAAATAAATGTAAGTATATTTGGGATTTAAGCTTTATTTAACTGTCTATACTGAGGCCACTATGTAGTTTATTCGAGTTGGCATATCTGCACTGCAATTTTGCTACTCGAATAGCACTTGTGAGTGGAACTTATCTCTTCAAGTTGAGCTGCTCTCTTCCCGTCAGTTTGGCAGATAGAGGCACAAGAAGTGCTCGTCAGAAATGCACAGATGGAAACGGCACCAATCGCAGTCATTGCGCAATGCAATGAAATGCAGTTACCTTTGTAGGGCGATGCATGTCTGGTCACGAGGTTTCATAGGATTTTGCAGCTACAACGTACCCACAGCATAAATTTAATGCAAACATTTAAACTCTACATTACTCTTATTGATAAAGGTAAGCCAAGTAGTATGGATAAATATATGTGGACATTTTCCTCTGCCTCAGAAGGTTAACACTGCTAACTGGACCTTCACCCCATCCACAGACGTGTTGCTGCCAGAGGAGGCAAAAAATGTCCATCAGATATATCCTACAGATGATATGGATGTCCCCAACTACTAATTTCATAACCGCTTTAATGCCTTTGCAGGTTAAACACTGCGTTACAGGGGATACGAGTTGATTTCAGCTCCTTACCCTGCAACAAAACACATTTGGGCAGAAAAACAACCCAAATATCTCCAAGTCTGATGGCAGTAAAGCTGCTCTTGGGTAGCGCTTTAGCAGCTCTACTGCTGAATTACAGCTCACCCCAAGAAACTCAGAAGGCTTTAAACCTTACTTCAACTCAAAGGCAGAAGCGGACTGACATTTAAGGAACAGACGTGTTTCTTCTTTCCCAAAAAGCAGTTAATCAATGGAAAATTAGAATTTAGACTGAGGATCAAGTCTAACAGTCAGGAAACAATAAGTGTGGCACCACCAGCCTTCCTTCCTTCTAGATTATAGGCTCAACATGCTTGCACTGAATGCACTTTCCAACGCTCAACTATTTAACAAGTCCACATAATCTAAAGCAGCCAACATACTAGTGTTCATTATCTTGATCAAAACACTGCTTGAAAGAATTTTCCAAGATGCAATCTATCACATTTTTTTACTCTGCTTGTTTACGACATACATTACGGCCATTAGTGCAGGGGAAGGGGAGCTGTTGGGTAAGAAAAAACCAAACACCACTCAAGCCAAAATACCAACAAAAAACAGAAAAAAGATCAGAATTACAGTCAAACCACTGCAATCTTCTGTTTAACACTAGAAGGCCAGAACCACTAGGAACGTGAAAAAGATGCTCAATCATTAAAAAGGTTTGTTTATTTTGTAATTCGTCCCATATTTAAAGAGTTAAGCCTTCTGGTTAATCTGCCTGTTTATGATCAGCACATTGGTGCAAGTGATATGCCATAAACCAGCGGTCCCCAACTTTTTTTGCGCCACGGACCAGCCTTTAAGGTGTCGCGGATAAATACAACAAAATAAAACTAGTACCGGTACCGAAAAAAAAAGATTTATTCATAACACACGTGAAAAGACTCAGGAAAACCGAGTTAACGATAAAAAACGATAACAAAATAACGCTGAAAACCGATAAAAACCTTGAAAACCATACATTTCACACTTGAGCCTCAACTCTCGCGGCCCGGTACCAAACGACACACGGACCGGTACCGGTCCGAGGCCCGGGGACCGCTGCCATAAACAGCCTCATAACCATTTATGCTAGTGATCGAGCCACACTCATCTCAAAGAAGGTTCACAACTCCCAATCCGTAACTGAACAGGGGAAGTCCATATTCCTATTTTTTACGTTAAAGCAAGTTTAAGGTCTAAAAATTGGCAAAATGTTTATTATTGGGAACTGTGACCAAAGACTGTGAACCTGCCCAAACCACAACAGACTGCCACTTGGTAATCTTTGAAACACAGACTCAGAAGCACAAAAGTACACTGATTTGATACCCAGCCATAACTTGTTTTGTTGTTTTAATCGATAGCTAAACAGCGATGTCCATGTGGTGATTCGGACTGAGATAAATATAGCCGAGCGTCTTATCAAGCCATTTTGCACTGTGTGTTTCCTGAACTGAAATAAAACCCTTGTGCAGCCAGTTGCTGAACCCACTCTAAAAATTCTCTACGTCAATGATGTCAAAACAGGAAGAGAGCAACAAAATGTCCTCATAATAACTTCCCAATGCTGCTCCAAGTACTTAGACTGCATCACTGCCTTCCTGTTGCCAGTCTGCACCCTTCTACCATTTACCCTCCACTAATCAGCTGCCCAATCAATGCCCTCCACATGAAGCAACAAGACATCTGCATCTCTGAACATCTACATGCTGTTTTCTAAACATCATAAACAGTAAAATTCACATTTTAGCATAGACATGACACAATAACAATTCATTCAAATTCAAATATTGTTCATACATGAGTGTGTAGTTGGCATTTGTGTGGTAGGCAGACTTACAGGCTGAGTGTTACCAACCTTTTCTCCCTGCAGGGAGGGTACCGAGTCCCGGAGGCTGTGAAAGCTGTCTTTGATGTGGTCCCTACGCTTGCGCTCCAGCGCATTGTGGTGTGCCCGTTTGTCTGCCTGCAATGACAAGAGTCACAGGGCCTTAAGCCAGGCAGCAGAGCAGCGTGGGTAGAGGGACAGCGGGTGTCCAGCCGTCCCAGTCAAACGTTCACAAGCCGCTCTGCTGCCAAGTCGCACTCTGCAGTAAAACACTGCTTTATGCTTTTAATTCAGTGCAGCCATCATTATTATTAACCAACCATTACAGAGGAGGAGGACTCATTTAAGATGTAGTTAATATCCCCAGTAAGGCATCAAAATTAGTTTGTCTTCAATCTATAATAAAACACTGAGAATGCTAGTCACACATTTTTAAGGCCATCTTTAAACTGCTCAACAGCCTCAACCTGTAAAAATTCATTTTACTATTAAAGATGTAAATCCTTTCCTTTTCACTAACTTCAAAATTTGTGAAACATAACCCTCCTTTCTTCTTTTTTAATATCAACACACTTATCTTGTCATTTTAAAGAAATTCATATTAAAACAGGGACTGCAGTTCACTGAAACTCATGCAAATATTATCGCTCTGTAATCCACAAGATAAAAGGTTTAACCTCACAGTCCTCAACGGATTTCAATATCAGCAGCCGATATGACAGATTCTACATAGAAGGCCAGATCTTAGTGTAGACCGTCATTACTCTGATATTTTACCCAAATTTAAATATGACCAAAGGTGAGAAAACTTTTCTTTTTAACTAAACATAAGGAAGATATAACATATTTAAACACAAAATGCTTAAATTTATTAGACCAATAGTCATAAAAACAATCAAGCTAATATTTTAGAAATAGTCCAAAACTTGTTTAAATCTAAAAAATTATATTGGTATTTATTAGACAAACTGCATTTGTGTTTTTTAATACCTGCATTTATGCCGGCACACTGTACTCATCTGAGAAGTCCGAAATTAAGAACATCAGTCGACCATAGAAATCTAAATAAATAACTTTAAATTTTGCAAATTAAAGAGCATAAAGTGCATATTGGTGGATTAACAATCACAGAAACGTGAAAAATTATTTTGGTAATCACCAATAGTGTTAATCTAGTGTGACATAAACCTTACATTGGATAGTGGTCTAATAAATTTGCCAAGCACTGTAGATGCATTATTACATCTTAACATGCTAACAATCAAATGCTACTTCCAGCTCCCTCTTCATTTGCTGCAAAACTCTATTGTCTAAAATAGACCAAAATACGGAGAAATCTCTAAATTTGAACATGAAAACTAGTCACTGCAAACATGATGACAAATAATAGTGTCAGCTAACTCCCTGATGAGAAAGTAAACAGTTCAGCAGTCATGAACAGAGGTTGTTTTACTCTCCAACCTTTATGGGGTTCGGCTTTTCACTGTAAATTTGAGGTTAATTTTAGGCTGCTGTATGAACTAAAATACAACATTTTTCATGTCTTTTGTCAAATCAAATAACTAGCTTAACTATAACAACCCAACACTATTAACAAACACCAACTAAAAACAGGCACATAACTAGCTGTTAATTCAAAACCACACATCTGAACTCCAATTATTAAACTCGAGGCATAAAACAGCTGCCATTAGCACATGACCAGAGCACTGATCAGCATGTAGTTCGGCCTGTTTTTAGGCCAAACAATTACAGCCTCCAATCAAATCTGACTCCTGACTAATCCATGCTGTCACCAGGCTGAGCCCAACTCCCAATAAGAGCCTCCAAAATCAGCTGTACATCCACCATCACGCAGCTTCAGCAAAGCACGAGATGTGACTAAAATATTAGCAATGAAAACAGAACAATATTTGTGGTCACGCCACAGTTTCAGGCAAAGAGAAGAGGAGACAGAAGTCAGGTGACCTTGTGTCATCTGACTCATTTTGTCCATGGATTACAACAAAAGCCAAAGTGGCCACGAGTGAGATGAAGAGCAGGTTAAGACAAGCCTTTCGCTGTGATCTCGGTGGGCGTAAAGCGTGACTCAAGTAATACTTTAAGCAAGTAAACATCCTGCTGAAGGTCTTAGCAAGAAGATAAATGCTGCAGAGCATGAACACATCCTAGACACCCTGAGTGTCACTGAAACTGAAACTTTAATTAAATTTAAAAAAAAAAACCCAAACAAAACCCCACATATATACCCTTAAAGCTACCCACAATGCATATCATGTGACTCAGTGGCAGCTGCTCCTACAGTGTGTTGCATAAAACAGAGACCAACCAGAAAGGAGAAAAAACCACCAGGACCATGTGCCTCATTGTGCCAAGCACTCCCTCCATTAATCCTTGCATGAACAAACATGACTGCTATTGATGGCATGTGCAATTACCAGTCTGGTGGCTGTATCTATGGATGCTTCAGCGACGAGACAATAGATACAGAAAGTGCACGTGGTTGACTTTCTTGTTCAACGGCAATGAGGGGAAGACTATTATGTTCAGTATATTAACAGGAGTAAAGCCCAGAGTATGTTAGCATTCATTTATTATAGAATTCCTGCTTGTTAAAAGCAAGTGGTGACTTACAGACAAGCTATTTAAAACACTGGAACTGCTTTAAATACAGTTACCAATCAACGCTGGCCATTAGGTTTACTTTCCCTTTTGTAAATGTACAGTTTATTTGGCTAAACTCAGAGCTGGACGATAAAAATGACAAAAGAAATGCCCATGAATAAAGTTTTGCTCAATATAAATATAAGATATGGTCACCATAAAGCTGACAAACCTTATTCCAGCATGTTTTGACAGATAAGACAAAAGACCAATGATAATGAGAACACAGAGCCACGTCAGCATAGGCTGACATAGGAGGTGTAACCAGTAGCACCACATATGCTAGTGTTTGGGCTGCAGCAGTACAAGTGAGTGTGATTGAGATAAAACAAAATAAAAAGTTTAACGACGACTCGCGGCACAAGACTCAAGCTACGAGGACTTTGCTGAATGGAACCGTCCGATAACAAGACACGATGCCACTAAGCACAGTCGATAATGTTGAATTAAAGGAACTGACCATTAACATTTCTCGTACTTTCAAAGCTGTACATGGACTGTAGAGCGACGGCTGGACAGCTGTGTCATTCTTCGCCACCACACTGACTTTGTGGTCAAGTTGCACATCTGATCCATATGAGCGTCACTGCCCACTTTGTTGAGACGGCACTTTGCTTCTTATTCGAAAAAGAAAGTGTACTTTACTGATCCCCGTGGGGAAATTCCTCTCTGCATTTAACCCATTCACTCAGTGAAGCAGTGGGCAGCCACTGGGCACCCGGGGAGCAGTGTGTAGGGACGGTACCTTGCTCAGGGGTACCTCAGGGTAGCTGTTCAGGGGAATACAACCCGTTCCTCTGCTTCAGGGAACAGACGTTATAGACATAACTGTTCGCTTGTGCCTTGGAGCACAAGTGACCCTAAACTATCTGAATGTTCTCCTTTGCCTGCATTTGAAAGGTTCTTGAATTTGTACAGACAGTCTGAATCTATATTAAAAAAAAATAAAATCATTTTTTTAAATATCGGATTAATATCTAGGTTATACTTATTTGGAACAGACCAAAGATTTCAGTTTTCCATTTGTGTTTGTGTTCTTGGTTGTATATCTTGGTATGAAAAAGAACCTCTAAGCTTGACCGAAATTGTGAGTCCATTTACAGCACGATTTATATTTCAGACTGATAAGAAAGAAATTATTGTTTTATGACTTTCTTTCCCATATCAGCCAGCTCTAGTTAAACCTCACAATAAACTCCAATCCAATAATTCCATAAAGCTGCTTTTGTTTCCTCATTTCTTTCCATTCGTTTAAAATTAGCAAAAATAAGCTTCACAGGCGGATTTTGACAGGCCTTTCACGCTTCTTCAAAGTCTTCGTTCACTATTAAGTGCTGATTTGAACAAAGTTCCACCACAGATATATATTTTAGTGCCTTTAAGTTACTCTTTGGCAATGTAAGTCGCACTCTCAAGAGGATGTTGAATATTTACAAAAACCATCAGAATTTGAATTTATAATAAATGTTTTAAAAGCATATAAATGTTAAATGTTCATGCAAAGTTTCATTGCACCAGTTAAAGAGGAGACAGGGTACATAAAGACATTAAAAACCACTGCAGTTTAAAACAGTTTCAAGGTCTGCAGTAGTGACTTATAAGTATAAAATGTAAGTACTTTTTTTTAAGGGAAAAGTGGTTCTGTTCGGACAGTAAATATCACATTAGTAAAGATAAGGTTAGTCATTTCATTAAAAATTTGATTTATTTAATACCACCCACCTCATGACCTCAGAGGTAAATGATTTTTAGTGGTACACCAACTTCAGTCTGTTTAATTGAGGCAAGATTTTACCTTCAGCCTATGAATATTTTATATAATTTAATATTTTTACAAGCCCGAAAGCAAAAAAACAAAACAACTGTATCTGAGAAGGTCTAGAGGAAACGCAATTATTTAGATTTATATGAAATGACCCAGCTGTCTGCACTATACATGCTCTAACCTACATAATTATAATTTATATTGAACACTAATCTAATAACGATTAGCGGTTAATATGAAACTGCTTTTTTACATTACAAAATTTTATTAATCTGAGTACCAGTGAGGGTACTTTTTACTACTGTTAAATGTGTCTTTGGGAAAAGAAAACATCTCAAATTCTGTTTGTTCTTGTTGTTTCTTTTAAAGGCAAAAAAAGAGTGAAAATAAGCTGACAGAAAACCTTGTTTTGGGAAAATGAAACAATATAATTGCCCCCAAATATCAAGATGTGACCCCATAGTACCGACAGAAAAATAAGGAATCATGCCTCTTTCTGAGAGCAGATTAAAGGACAGACACCACACCCTTTACATAAAATAGCCACAAGATCTCCACGTATGTACTGTCACGTAACCTGACATACCTTTCAACAAGTCTGTTCCTTCAGAGAGCCAGGAATGCAGCAATGTTTTCTTTATTTCTGACTTGTGTAGGAAATTTTAATTCCAAGTGAATCCACTTTAAAGGTTACATCATGCACATAATTACATTTAACTAGGTCGCCAACACTAAACAGCTGCTATAAACACAGCAGTATCTGCATCGTCAAGCTACCTTGTTGAGCACATCAGGCTCCACAAAAAGCAGGTGTCCTATTACCTGCTTGCAACCATTATCACTTCACTGTAAAGCTGATACGTTCTGCTGGCGGCCTACGCCAGCTGAGCTTCTCCTCCGTTCTATTCATACCTGATCATGAGACATTACATAACACCACCAGGTGCCTAGCTGCTGCTTCCTGGCCATTCCTTGACCAACTCACCTTCCCCGCACGAAAGCCTACGCTGCTGTCAAAACTTTTTCCACCAGTAACCATGGAAACGCCACTAAAACAGATTCGCCAGCAAGTGAAGCAAAGTTGACGATTTAAAAAAATGTCCTCTTTAGGACATATTTAAGATCTTACAATGACTGGTTTCACTGTTCATTAGTTTATACATTTCTGTTCTTGGAGCTACAAAACAAATCATATTTTGCCCCTCGTACATTTTCTAACCATTACACACTGCATACCATACATACATTAAGTGCTTAGCAGCCCCTTTGCTCCATGACTAGACAGCGTTCAGTCTCTTATCTCACCTTCCAAGACATATCTACAGACAACAGGCCCACTTTCCACATCACTATTCAAGTTTTGAGAGCTATTCAATGTCTGCCACACCAAAACCATCATTACATTTTATTCCTATCTCTGTTTGCACAGCTAAAGTGGTGAATTTAGCTTTTTGGAAACAGAAATTGCAATCTGGGAAGTGCAATCCTGAGAAAATACGAGCCACAATCTAATTAAAAAATAAATAAATAACTGAGAGCATCTGAACAAGCTGACAAAAGTATTCTTGGTGGTAAATTTACTTGTCTGTAGATAATTAAACCACGAAGAGACACCATTCTGTTCTATTACTGCTGTTTGGCAAAACAAGAAGAAGGAAACTTCTTTTTATCCTTTATAAAATAATGATATTTCTCCACGCATCTGTGAGCACATCTGCCAATGTTGCAACATTTTTTTATACACTTGAGACCACTTTTTTTTTTAAGCCATCTGACAAACATCCAAAATTATGACTAAGGTAACACTTCAATAATTGTGCAAAGCACTGGTGATTTTTTTCTAAAAGCAACTTGCCAGGTTTTGCTCTAAAGCTAGCTTTTCTCTAACTGTCTGAAGCAGTAAGTCGGGGTTTTCCTGCAAATAAAATTAACTGTGTTAAATATATTTACTCTTTTTTTTTTTAATGGGGTTTAATCTAGTTTAAATTCACCCCCCAGAAACGGAAAAATGCATAAACTTCTTGTAAGTAAGGCAACCATAAGCAGACCAATGGGACTTGCTTGCATAATCAACCCTGAAAGGCCCATTTTAAGCAAGAAGAAAAATGCTCCTACTGTTCAGCAGAAAACGAAATATTTTCAGTATGCATGTATAAACTAGACAACACAAGCAGAACATTAAAGTCAGTATTGATCAAAAAATAAAGAGAGAATTGCCTCAGGTCTGTTGGGGGGGAACCAGCAAAAAGGCTATTTTCTAATCTTTATATCACTTCATGTTAACATGTTAACACTAATATTTCCTAAACAGCTCTTCCGCATTTTAATTCTAGTTATTTGACAGGCGGGGAAACATGGTGTTTTTGTGTGCACCAACCAAATCGTGCAGGGTGTTTTTTTTCCCCCTAGCTTGTATGCATGCAGCTATACGTCATTCATTTAGGCTGCCAGCCTTTTCGCTGCCTGTAGAGAGAAGATGGCTCTAATCACCGTCTGCAATACAGGAAAACATCCCGCTGCACCCTTTCCTGACACCAAGCCCTGTCCGAGGAGATGCAGCAGCCTCTCTACCCGTTACGCCCCCCTCTGCATCTGCATCATGGATGCAGAACAAAATGTAAACGCGCACTCTTTACTAAGATGACCTACATGTATGATATGCAAACCTGATTGTGAGCGGAATCCCCGCGGAGGGGAGCAAAAAAGCCTGGGGTGGAAGAGGGGGGGAGACGACTCAGGCCACTAACCTGCTGCTACGGAGCACAGAAGGCTTTGTGTTAACCGGAAAAAAACAACAAACACGCGCGCACACACACAAAAAAAGCCTCTGTAGGGATAAAGCTTTGGTCTAAATATAGATTTCGTGTTACAGTCTCCCTATGGTCGGGTATACACAGGATGGGGGATACCCTGCAATACACTGAAGCCGAGGATTATCGCTTCACTTGCAGAGATGCATGAACAACTACACGCAAAGCAAAAAATACCGTCCACACACACACACATATATAAATAAATTTAAAACATACACGTGTTATCATCGAGATAACCGCACTATCACATTCTCTCTCATGACTAGCCCCCACCACCCAAATAGTGCAATCTGACTAATACACCATAATAAATAAATAAAAATTAAATAAGCAAAGTGGTGATGAATAAGTTAACTTAGCAATAATCAGAGACACATTTTTTTGTGTCGACAGTGGACAAATCCAGCATTACGCACCACAGAGTGATATCTCGGTGATTCTTCCTGCAAAGAAACAGAACAAAAAGTACAATTGTAGCCACAATTCTTCGTAAAGCTCCACAATCTCACTGTTTTCGCTGAAGAAAAGTAAGATAATTAATCAGGTCAACAATGAGCTGATGCAAGAAAGCCTACTGTTTCTTATCATTTAGCTGGAATCCCGATAAAATTACTCAGAAGATCAGAGCTAGCCAGCTTACTGCCAGCTAGCGCTTAGCCGACGAGCTAGTTGAGCTAAAACAAATTTCCAGCTGGCGGAATAACATCCTTAAAAAGCAAAAAGCAGCCATACTTACGTCACTATCGACTTCGATGTCATCGTTATCACTCATTCTTCGATTAAATAGGCTAGTTTAAACGGACGGGTGGCTAAAAAAACAACATGAATCAGCTTAGCACCGAGCGGCGCTCCTATACACGGACAGCTAACAGCTCACGTTCTGTTTGGACGGAGCCGAGGTGGACTCTACGGGCTCCACGTGACTGCACTCCACACACGCAGCTGCCACACCGCTGTACACATGCGCAGAAGCAAGAGGGCTTTTGGGAAGTGTAGTCGATAGGATTGTTTTTCTTAATTTCTCAGATGCAAATTAATATTTGTGGAGCATTTTACTACAGGTAGTATTTATAAAATATATAATTTCCCCTGGATGAGTCAAGAAAGCATTATACAGAAAGTCTGAATACCGTTGTAAATGTAAGCAGTTGTTATTTCTAAACTACAATATCCAGGAGGGATTTCGCTTGTATACTACGTCACAGCGTCTTTATTTTTCTGATTTGCATTCTGGGAATTGTGGTTGGAGTCGTATTTGTATGCCAGAAGAGCTAAACGGGCCATGGCTGAGACACGTGGATTTTAAGAACATACTGAAGAAACATAAACTCTCACATGCTCAGGCCCAGCTACAGCAGCCTACAAATATACACCAATCAGGCGATTCATTCCTAGTATGCCTCTCCTTCTTTTCTGTTTTTCTTTTTATTTCTTTTCATCTTGTTTGTGTTTTATGTGATTCGTTTTCTTTTTAGGGATCAAGAGTATGAAATTAAGATTGACTGAGTCCTGTTCAAAAACTATAACTTGTGTTGTTTTCTTAGTTTTTAAAAAAAAAAAGATAAAAACAATAAAATATCCTTGGGTTATTATTTGGGATACACAAAATAATGTTAATGATTCAATTGATAAACTATAATTTAAGAAAACAAACAAACAGACCTTTCTGTAATGCTAGTGGAATAAATGCAAATAGGAGCTGGTCTCTGCACAAATAATAGCAAGAGTAAGAGCAATAATCTGCTCTGGGGCTTCCTTTTTTCACTAAATTGTGCTGTAGATAAGGAGCTTACACTGTGGATTATTCTGCACTGCAACAGTGAATCAGTAATTGTTTTTTTTTATGGCTGGGAGAAGCCTCCTCCATTCCCCCACCAGCAGGTCAAGAGACCACATCAGCTGCAGGCAACATCCTGTTTGCGTTCCCTGCTGCTTTACACCTGCACTGACCTTCATCCTTCTGTCAAGCCAGTCTAGATCATCTGCCTCTTCTATTTCTTGTATACTCCGCCAGTTTTGGGCCCCATCTACAATTTTCTTGAATCTTATTGCATGTCCTGCAGCAGGATGGCCCAACAGGGTCACCTAGAAATATGGTCAGTAACAGCATACCTGTTTTTAATAGAAGACAACACAATAAGGCCAGGCTTTAATAATGCATCTGCTGCAGTGAAGCCTCTCCGTCTTCATGCATGACAGCAAGAAGCCATCAAGCTGTGTATGTGCACCAAAATTGAATTTAAATTACCTCGAGGGATGGATTATGTTATAGAATAATAAGATGATGAAGTAGATATAGCAAAAGTCAAAATTTTCTGCTGTCTCACCACACCCTTAATACTGTTTCTCACAGGCCTGAGCTGAGTTATGAAGTGTGGAGCACCATTACAGTTCACAGTGTTCAGGCTGCAGGAAGGTAGAGACACTGATTAACTATAGAAGAAGAAAAAACTATTAAAATCCAGGTATAAGGAAGACTTGGCTGTAATTACAGCTAGAAAAGCTGATCTGTCCAGACTGAACCACCTTCCCCTCCCCCCCGTGTCCTTACAAGATTGGCCTGCTAAACCATTAAAATGCCCTCCTTTTGTCCCCTTGCAGCGTACTGGCATACTGGAAGAGCCCCAGTATGCAGACACCATTAGAGATTTTTTTTGTCCTTCTTGCCATTGTTGTTGGTGCATCACTTATGAAAAGGAGGAAGGGGGGGAGCACTGCAGTGCCAGATAAATGCTAGAAAAGTTTCACTACATCCTTAAACTGTCTTAGATGATATTACTGTAGATTATTCTTGTAAACTTTAATCAATAAATCAGTTAACTATACATTATCAGTGTTAATCTAAATGGAGCAAATGAAATACAGTATACTAATGTAATATGAAACGTGACTGTACTTAAAAATAATCCAAACTCATTTCCTGAACCCCCCCCCCCTCAAAAGAAAAAAGATAAAAGTAAATAAATAAGAGTAAGTAATGTCATCCACAGAGAGATAAGCATGTTTATCTCAACTGCGCAGCACTAATTAGTATATCAAAGTGCGTGGGTTATCAATTTTTATGATAAATACAAACTGGAAGAGAGTGCTGTCAATTGCAATGCCCAACACTGTTGGATGAGCACATGGAAGAAAACAAGTAGGATTGTAATTAAATCATCAACAGCTGCAGCAATAAAGTGTGAAATAATAATTATGATCCAATGATTCAGTTACGAGCCCCTTAGTACTTCTCTGACCTGCTGCACCCATATACACAGTCTCACATGCTATGGTCCTCAGCTATGGGGCTGTTTCTGTCCCTCCAGCCCTATTTTCTTTATGTATTTTTGTTTATTTGAACTATTTTTCAATAGATATACAAATATAAGTTATTATTACAATAATATGATGTTAAGATTAAATATATTGTGTGCTATTGAAATAATTGAGATACTCAGGACTGCACAAGAGCATTCATCTCATGTTCAATGTTTTCTCCATGTTTTCTACCTAAATGTTATTTATGATTGCATATTCTGATTTTCTGTTTCCAATTCCAATTTCATAGGCATTAATGTACCCCCATACCATCAGAGATACGGGCTCTTGAACTGAGCACTGATAACAAATTAGATGGTCTTTCTTCTCTTTAGTTGAGAGGACATGGTGTCCACGTTTTTTTATTTGGAAAACATTTTTGCATCATATTCACACATTCATAGCCGTTAGTCTTGTACTTTTTTGGGTAAACATTGGCAATGTTGTTTTTGGATTCTTGTAGTACACATCCAAACGTTTTTGAGATGCTTTGCTGCCATCAAATTTAAAATGTGGTAGTATTTTTCATGAAATAATAAAATGTCTCAGTTTAAATGTGATATATTTTCCATGTCGTGTTGTGAATAAAATATGGGTTTATGGGTTTTTGCAGATTATTGTATTCTGGGTTTCTTTGCATTTTATACAGCATCCCAACTCTTTTTGGAATTCAGGCTGTAGTATCACCAGTGTAAATTTAATAGGAACATTGTGTTCGCCATTTCGAAAAAGGACAGTTATTTCACATTATCACAGTTTCCCTCATTATGTAGAAAGCCTTTGATCAATAATTAGCATTGCAATTATTTATAAGAATTTGCTGTTTTTGCGGTCCTCATTATTGGATAACAACATGCTTTGGAAATGTGGCAAATGATTAAAATTACATGATATTAAAAAAAGTTTGTACCATGTTAGGCTCTAGTGCCACAATTTATTATATATTTTTATTTGGCTGGATGTCGACATACTTTTCAAATATTCAAATTACAATTAAATTTAATGCTGTGCATCATGTTATAGTAGCGAGATAGGACTTGTGTGCTGCAAAAAACAGAATAAAGATAATTATTCTGTTTTTTGCAACAGTAACCAAAACAGAGGCCGTTTCTTCAGTGATACTAATTAGCATTTTTATCTTTCAAGCAGGTACGTTATGACTCACTGTGCCTGTCTCACAACAGAATGCAGTCTGTGCTGTATGTCAGCTGTAGATCCCTTCAAGTGATTTACAGTAAATGGTGTTGACTTTTTTGGAAATGCCAATCTCTGCTCTTTCTGCGTCATACTGGGACATCTTGCCAATTTGCTTCAATGGAGTATTACTGTTCTCCAGACTTTCTTTTTTATTTGCACGACATCCAGTACCTTGGATTACTGTGTCTAAAGAAGCACCTGTATATACAGTATCTCACGGGGTCCACGTGTTTTACTTAAACATCATTATATATATGAAATTTGTTCTATATACATATTTGAAAAATTTAATTAGTGTCTTGACTCAGATTGAATGTATCTCTATTCTATCTACATTTTAAATGCTTTTGTTATGATTTTTCTGTTTTCTTCATAAACAACTGGTCATGCAGGGTTAAGGGAAGGACGTGATTCTCACAGCGTAAAAGCTGACACAATTGACGCAATAGGCCTGTAGTGTTTGGCCTGTTGATCTGTTGTAGTTGTTGCTGTTTAGCAGTTATTTTGATAATAAATGCAAATGCCATCCACCCATTCTCTTCCGCTTATCCGGTTCAAGGTCATGGGGAGTGGGAGTCTATTCTAGCTTCCATAAAGCAGGAGGCCGGATACACCCGAATGTATCCCGCCAGACACAGGGCTAATGCTATATAAAAATACACTAAATGAACTAAATAAGCTAAATGTTAATGTATTATACCAAAATCTCAGCCCACACCACTTTATAAGCTACTTTTGTGTTTATGTGCTTATCTTCTTCTTTTCAAATAAATAGAGCTACTCCACATGCTTCCCACAAGTCCATCGGCAACAGTAGAAACTCATCTTTATCACAACTATAACCGAAAAACATCTTAAAACATAAAGCAGGACGTACTGTTGTCATTTCAGAGCTACTTCTATCATTTTTGGCATGGAATTATCAGCTCTTGAAAGCCAGTGAGGAACTTGGCATCAGTATTCAGGTAACAATCTGTCAGCTGTACATAACTTGTGATCATGTGTGGAGTTTGTACCTGGCAGATGCTAATCTGCTGGCAAACCAGCAGGCAAAAAGGTATCATTGCAAGTATTTTTAGCAATAAAGCAAGACTGCAGACTCCTAATAACTGAATCATCTGTTTGTATTTTTAATGTTCTACTGTTGATAAATTCTGACATTTTAAGCATTAAAAGCCCATTTCGGGTGCATCATTCCTCATCTAAAAGCAGAGACCTCTTCTTTCTGTATGTTTGTTCAGCCACTCGTTATCTGTTGAAATTTGTTTTTAAATATGCAACCCCCTGGATATGTTAAGATGTTGTTTCTGTGATTACAGCATTGTGTTCAGACAAAGGGCTGCAAATTCTTTTTTTTATTTATACTCTGTGACTCATTGTGGTCCATAACCAACGGGGCAAACAGAAAACATCTTTGGGAATCTTCCTCAGGGATTTCCACAATGTCAACTCTTTCACAGATGTTCATCTTCAAAGACACAATGCCTCTTGCTTTAAAAGGCTAAGCCAGCAAGGACACACAAAAAGAAAACAAAGACACTTTTTGACTTCATAAAGTTAGAGGAAGTTATTAGTTACCAGTTCATTCAGATTTATTTTTTATTTTTTACATTTCCATTGCAGAAGCTCCTGGATGAGCTTCACCTCTTGAGGTGCTGAAGTCAGTTGTGCACTAGATAATAATAATGGATTGGATTTACATGTATATAGCGCTTTTTAAGGCACCCAAAGCGCTTTACAATGCCACTATTCATTCACTCTCACACACTGGTGGAGGCAGCTACGGTTGTAGCCACAGCTGCCCCGGGGCAGACTGACAGAAGCGAGGCTGCCATATCGCGCCATCGGCCCCTCTGGCCAACACCAGTAGGCGGTAGGGTAAGGTGTCTTGCCCAAGGCAAGACACCACCTGATGAAGCCAGCTCGCACTTGAGAGGTTCAAAGCGCTGGGAATGAGAATCAGCACCTCCAAGTCTGAAGCCACGGTCCTCATCTGGAAAAGGGTGGAGTGCCCACTTCAGGTCAGGGATGAGTTACTGCTCCAAGTGGAGGAGTTTAAGTATCTCGGGGTCTTGCTCACGGGTGAGGTGAGAGGGGAGCGGGAGATCAACAGACGGAGTGGTGCTGTGACTGCAGTGATGTGGACACTATAGTTGTGTCCAAATTCATGGGCTGCATCCTCCTGAGGACCCGGCTCTCGCGGTCTACGTGGGCCGGGTCCTCAGATGGTCGGGTAGGCCGGAAGTAAACGGCTGTGAAATTGGACAGTCTAACCTTCAGATTTGTGTCACCGCTGTCTTGGTGGAGTTTAATCAACTCAGCCGCCTGCTCTTTGCTATCTAAAATATAACAGGACACTGGTGTAAATTCTCGACTGTCTCACACTTCTGTTTAATCAGTTTTCTATTTGATGTTTATTCAGCTGTGTGAAAACCACCCGAGGGATAATTAAGTTTTATTTTATCTAATCTAATCTAACAACTTTAATCTCAGCCAAACTGATTCACTCATGAACAAATAAAACACTGAAAAAAGCCAAACAATAACATTTTTAGGTTGTCTAAGTGACTTATATATTACGTTTAACCTGAGTAGCGAAAGTCCGCGGTGATCTGAAAATGATGTGCCGGGAGTTGTGCCGTTCTCGGCAGCTCTAGTGACCCTCGAGCTCCCGGCTAGCTATCGAGCTGGCGGATAACAGACGTCTCCGAAAATGTCAGAGCACTTTTGCAAATATGCGATATCTTCATAAACTGAGCAGATATTTGAAGTTTACACAGCTACATTCTCGCCTGAAAATATGTTAAAAGTTTATTTTGTGACCCAGAAAGAGTAATAAGAGTAATATTAAAAACTTAGTAGCAGCCGCATTGTTCAAAACTGGAATTGGCTGGGCCGCGCTATGAGTTCTGGGATATGGTGGGCCATGAAGGATACACCCGACCATTCAAATTCTGGGAAAAGAAGGACGCATTCGGAGGAGTCTACGAATTTGGACAGCCGTCGTCGCGTTGCTGTGGCATAATCGGCCTACAAATGCAGCCTCAGGAGGATGCAGCCCATGAATTTGGACACGACCTATACCAGTCTGTCCTGGTGACGAGAGAGCTTAAAAGTAGCTGGTAGCTGACAGGGATGCCTACTGGGTGAGGCATGTCCCCCCAGGTGGAGGTCCCTGAGCAGGCCCAGAAGAGAGAGATTACATGTCTCGGCTCTCATCTCTGAATGTCTTGGTGTTGGGCTATCCTTCAAGTACAACAACTACAACAGCTCAACAGGCCAAACCCTACAAACCACTGCCCCATCCCTTTCTGCCTCAAATATTTGTCAGTAATTCTAAAATTTTAAGCACTAAATGACCATTTTTGGTGCATTATTTTTCATCTACAAGCAAAGCCTCACACAGGCATGTCTTTTTCTGGATATTTGTTCAAAATGCAACCCCCTTGTTCCTTCAATTACAGCTAATCAACAGGATACGCAGAAAACATCTTTGGGGACTCTTCGAGGAATTCCACAGTGCTGACTCCTTCACAGATGTTCACTGTCAAAGACACAATGCGTTCTTATCGGATTCATTCTTTGAATCAGATAAGATTCAAAGAATCTTATCAAAGAATCTTATCTTGCTGATCTGATTCATTCAAAGAATGAATCAGATCAGCAAGGACCCACAAAAACAATACATGGACACCTTTTGATTTTCTAAAGTTAGAGAAAGTTATTCGTTAATAGTTCAGTCTTTTTTTGTTTGTTTGTTTCTTATCGTTTTTCATTACAGAAACTCCCGGAGGAGATTGTTTTCTCTTAAAGTGCTGTAGTCAGCTGTGCACTAGATGGCACCTCTGCGCAAACAGAAGCCTCCATGTGTCATTTGTTACAGATAACAGGAGTGTCAACACAAAAGAGTTGATTTAATGACAAAGCGACGAGAGACGAGGAAAGGAAGAATCTGTCCCAGAAGGTAAAGAAAGCACTGAATACAGCAATATATATATATATATATTCAATTTAAAACTGCAGCTGTTCATTTCTTGGAAATCATCTTGAGAATTTTCCTAATTTCTTCTTTTTCCTACTTTCTGCAGACTGACCTCTAGATTTAGGTGTGCAATTTTCACCTTCAGCACAGTCAAAAAGTAATGCTTGACACCTTTATGGAGCTTTGCTGTGCTGTAGGGTTTTTTTTCCCCAAACATGTTCTTGTTTATATGAGCAGAAAACAGAGATGTGCAATCTTGTGAAAGTAATTTGTGTGCACACAGCATGTGAGCATGCCAGCAGGGAGGATGTGGTTGTCACATGGAGATGGAGGCATGCTGGAGTTTGAGGATTGAAACAAGCAAATGCTGCATGTTGTTGTGCATTAATGCACAGATTAACTAGATTTAAGTGACTTTCAGCGAGGCATATGCTTTGTTTGGCTAACTATGCCATGTTAAACACGTTTTATCCAAGTGTTTTTGGTTAAATGTCAAGCACTGTACTTTTAAATGACTTTAAACGCCTTCATCTTCTTGTAAACACAAAATAAGTCATTTTATATCACTGTGTATGCAGCACTGTGTGTGCTATAAAAACAGCATGGTATAAGGTGTGTAGGCTGCAGCAGCATTACCTCAAACACAGTAAGGGAATTCAAAGGAGTTTCAAAGTCTGAACATCTACAGCACATGTAATGATTACATTAAATGGTCTCAGGCCCATATAATGTGTACTATGACCTGTACAACTACTATCTCAAAACAGGGAACTTATCTCAGGTCCACACAACATCGAGCTTTCTGGGAAAGTAAACAAAGTAGAAACCGTTAAGAGCGATTCAGTGAGGAATGAGACCCCTTTATTTGACTCTCTGATCTAGTTTTATAATTTATTTTCATATATTTTATTTAAGTGAACAAAACTAACTGATATTAAACACCTTTTTCAAGAGGAGTGCACCATAAAGCAGCTTCAACCTATCGAGGATTTCTCTGCATTAACTAGCTCAATAAAACTTAAAATTATCCAATTAGAGAACTTGGATTCCATCGTAATTATTAAGGTTTGTTTTTGCTTCAATCTCTGTGTATGCTCACATACAACAGAGTGTTTGATGGACAAAGGATACTCCTTTAAAGATGACAGTGTTCATATTCAGGGCTGAAAGCATCAATGGTTTCTAAGAGGAGTAATGGAGGCTGTTTACATCCACTGTGACTGACCATCGCTGAACAGAGACATTGTCTTATGACAACAGCTATCAGCCATCTACGATACAATCTTGCGAACCTTTTCCACTCACACCTAGCCTCTAGTGATCTCAAGAAGTCACATGATAGGGTGGGGCAAAGTCTCATAGTGGTTTCACCCTTAACCCTCTAGCATTTTAATGAGCCATGCCTTGTTTCACACCTTGGCTCATGTGATGATCCACATGATCACTAGTAGGTCAATGACCAACCCTAAATAGGAAAACCTACATTAGGAGATTAATACCTGGGCCTATCCTCCTTTGGGCTTTAGAACTGAAGAAGCCTCTTGGATGAGAAGTGAAACATCCTCACAAACTTAAAGAAGGCCGGTTACCACTTATTTTAAGCTCTCAAGGTTATAATGACCTGGATGACTGAGACCACACAGATATGTTTAATGCTTCATTTCACTCTTCTGTCACTGAAATTGAACAGAATGAATGCTAAACAGAACAAACCTTTCATGGAAAAACATTGAAAATAAAAATGCAGGTCCTGCAAATAAGGCAGTTGTTAATCTTGGTAATAAATATGCCAATATACATATCATTAGCAATCTGACACGTTCAACTTGTTAAATCTCAACCTCCATACATTTGGAGGTTAAAGTTGCTCATTGATTGACCTGACTTTATTTTGCTTCACAGTGCATCACTCTGGCCTAATGAGCAGCAAACATAGTACCAACTGCAAAACCTGCAAAAAGCCAAAGTTAACTGTCACAGACTGCATTGCACACAACACCAAATCCACATTGTGCAAGACTCACGGTTAAAACAGCTACAATTCCAACCAAATGCACCATAAATATTAGAACAGTCACACTGACTGAAATTTAATGCACCTCTTCTGTCCTCAGGATACAAAATTCTTTGAATGAGCCTGCAAAAATCAGCCTGCTCTATCATTTGATTTTCCACTCACAGCTCTGATTTGAAGGCACCATGGACCACACAGTGGATATTATCTCCGATCCAGATCCGTGGCTCAACAACACAAATGCAAACAGCACCTCCAGTTACATGCCTACCATGTCACCAGTAATGGACAAAACCATCAACATAATTATGATAATTAACTTATTTGTGACCATGGTTTCACTGGGATGCACCATGGAGGTGTCCAAGATCAAGGTGACTACAGCAAGTTCAGTTTCATATGTGAGCTAAATGTAAGGAGACAATCTTATGCTAATGTGAACTTTTCTTCTTCTGTTTCCAGCATCATATGAGAAAACCTAAGGGGGTGGCTATCGCAGTCGTGGCTCAGTATGGCATAATGCCTCTCACAGCTTTTTTCTTAGCTAAGGTTGGTACTGATGCAAAGTGAAATAAGATTATAAACACTACAGTAAGAAAGGCAGTAGGCATAATATGGTTGTACTGGAAAATATTTGTGTTCCTGTTTTTTCTTTACTTCATTTTTAATTGTCATTTCTAATGTTAGTAGCGCTAAAACAGTAAAATAAAGTATTTTCTGTTTTTTTCTGAATATATAAAATGGTCATTTAACCCTTGTGTCATACTGGGGCCTTTTTGGGTCCCTTTGTTTGTTCGCATGTAAGCCATTTCCACTGTGTTGGGTGTAATATAGCGAAACTTGCCACCCGGTTTCGTTTTTGTAAAAGATTCAAAATTCCAGTCTGATTTTCTTAATCTGTTCACTGATTAAGAATTTATTCATGAACTATGACATTAACTGCAGAGGAATCATCAGTATTTTAAAAAAGTAATTAAAGAAAATGCTAAAGGTATTCTTAGTGCACATTTGTGTCATTATCAGATCTTGCTTTTGTTGCTTTTGCATATGAGGTTACTATGATTATTGCGTTACAGCTGTTTAAGTTGGCTGAAATAGCAGCTGTGGTGATTCTGATCTGTGGCTGCTGTCCCGGAGGAGCTCTCTCCAACATCCTGGCTTTGGCTCTTCAGGGCGACATGAACCTCAGGTACACAAACAGAAAATATTTAGCTACAAAACTGTTAATGCATTGGGTTTTTTCTTAAACGATCAAATGCACAAAGACATAAATCCTTAGAGATTATTAGTCTTTATTTTATTTGTAAAATTCAAAACCCCTTACTGCGGGAGGAAGTGCATTCCTAAATGGTTTGCTGTTAAAATCTCACATTTTTTAGGTATCTTCTTCTGACACCTCCGAATCCAGATGGTTTAATTTTCTTTGAAACAACTTTAAATATCACACAAGTTAAAGACACAAACCTGAAACCATTTGTGTTTATTTAAATTCAGTTCTGGGAAAAGATATGCAATAAACTGTTTTTTTTTAAGTTAAGCAACCTCATCCGTCTTGTTATCGTACCGCTGATAATCATAATACACCTTGCAGTCTGAAAAGCAGTGATACACGTTATTAGAAATGAATGTCTTACAGATCATCAACATTTTATCATAACAGAGCGACACCTAGGCGTTATACTTTCACTCGGCTAGCCTTTCACCTCGTCTCTTATCTCTCCCTTATGAAGCAACAGGTGGTTACTTTAGGCTTCGAGACAGTCCTCCTTTATCTGATATGTGAGGACCTCGTTTGGCCTGTTGCTCTTAAACATGATCAGTGAGGACAGACTGTGGGCAATGAGGGCAAAGAATGCAGATTGTTTCAGTCACTACAAGCTTGTTATCTTGTTATATAACCAAGTGCCTGGAAGAACATCGTTATCTCACACAACCCCACTAATGTTTTATGAATTAGAATTTTTGTTTTTGTTTCATTTGGGAACAAGAAAATGACCACTGACAAAACAGGAACTCTGATCAACAAAGGAATGTTAACAAGAGCGTAATGGCATGTACTAGAGTTGCATAACACAGTGTAGCAGCCAACCTTGTAACAATTAGTTGGCAAGCATGTCATGGGCTCCCAAACCAGCAAAAATAACACAAGCAATGTTTCGGCAGGATATGAGGAATTTCCAGTTAGGCAAGGTTTTGGAAGTAATGCATGAGGCTCCCAAACGGTGAGCTGCTCACAAGAGGAAAAGTGGGAAAACTGGACTGTGCTTTTGATAGCATGTAGAAATAAGAGGAACATCCACTCTGCGATCTTAACAATTAACATAAGGACTGCTCTTGGCTTCTAGAGACCTTGCTGCTTAATTTAGACATGATATTCAATTCAATTCAATTCTATTTATGTGCCAAATCACAACAACAGTCACGTCAAGGTGCTTTATATTGTAAGGTAAACTGTACAATAATACATACAGAGAAAAACCCAAGAATCATTTGATCCCTATGAGAAAGCACTTTGGTGACAGTGGGAAGGAAAAACTCCCTTTTAACAGGAAGAAACCTCCAGCAGAACCAGGCTCAGGGAGGGGGGACATCTGCTGGGACCAATTGGGGTGAGAGAAGGAAGACAGGATAAGACATGTTCTGGAAGAGAGCCAAAGATTAATAATAAGTATGATTCAGTGCAGAGAGGTATATTAACACATAATGAGTGAGAAATGTGACTGAAGAAACACTCAGTATGATATGAAGTCTTTCCACTGGGCTCTTGCTTGCTATTTGTAAAAACTGCTTTTCTTCAGTCAAATTTTACCTCATCTAGATTATAATATTTTCAATTTTCAATTCACTTTTTGTAAAGGGGAATTAAAGTCCAGAGCATTCAATTTCTGGTAAAACGGGAATGTTTCGCAATGGATTTTTGTTGCCTTTTTGCCTTGAAACCCTAAGTAATGTACACATGGCTGCACAAATATTCTTCTTCTACTATTTCTTGTTGTTGTTCATATTAATTATTTTTTTCTTCTCATTGCTTGGCTTAACCTCAGAATACTGATACTGAATACACATTATTTATGTTGTATGTAAACACATCTGAGACAGAAATATACTCTTTCTGCAGTTTAGAAAGAGACAGTATATTTCTTCCACATTGGTTTCTCTTCATTGGCTCATAGGGGGTCATCTGATTGCAGGGTCTTTACCTTGCAAAATAAAGCACCTTGAGGTAACTGTTGTTGTGATTTGGCACTATATAAACAGAATGTATTTAACCTCTGGAACAGTCAGAATTTGTGCAACCTGTTCGTGTTGTGTTTATGAAGTGTCTCACACTATGATAAATTTTGAATGCATTTTGTCAACATAATGCTGAGAAGGAAATTTTGAGCATTATGGTGCTACAAAAAGATAAAAGCTGTCATGGTCTCACGCTTATCTTTTTCCTTCAGCATCGTGATGACCTCTTGCTCAACGTTGCTGGCTCTTGGTATGATGCCTCTCCTGCTCTACCTCTACTGTCAGGGTTTCTCCGACCTGCAGAACGCTGTCCCTTATGTTGAAATTATCGTATCACTGGTCATGATCCTGGTGCCGTGCGGCATTGGCATCATCATCAATACCTACAGGCCGCAGTACTCAAAGATCATCACAAAGGTCTGTGCATACTCACAAGAGTCTGAAGGTTGGACAGATCACTAGAACTGATAAACAGTGTTGATTAACTGGCACAGAGATGTTTATCAGTACATCATCAGTCAAAACTTTCTTACATCAATCAAGTGTTTGATTTTGTGTGTCACATGTTTTAAATGAATCTTTCTCATTTTTCTCACATCACATGACTACCCAGTGAGTCCTAAAGAGTTCTTTGGACCAGGGTGGTATATAGGTAACTAGGTCAATGTGAACCAGTACATGGTTTAGAGAACGGTGTTCTGGTTTTTGGATGGTAAAGGATCTCTGTATCACTTCGAAATCAGAAATCAGGCTTCACTATTTGTTACTGGATCGGCTTATTTTTGGTTTTGATCTTTTTATTGGATCTGTTGACAACAGAGTCAGGTCCTTAAATTTTTCAACAGTAATTTTTTGTAGTTTTGCATCTGTACACAATCATGGTGGGTTTTAAATCAAGCAATCAAGTTGTGACTCAAGTCAGACTTTCAGCTTTAATTTAAAAAAAGTAATTACTTTAACTGTTTACTACTGTGGTCAAATACAAGTTCAGCTCACAATGTTTTATCTGCCACATTTGTTATGAAGTAAAAGGGAATACGCCTCATTTTGCCTTAAAATGCTTGTCAGTCAACTGTCAAATTGCTATGGAGTTGATTTGTTTCGTGTCCTGCTGTTTGCAGGTAGGCCTAATTATAATGATGATTTTTATCGTGGTGATCGTCACCTTAACCAACATTGGAATCGGAAGAGTCATGCTGACTGTGTTGTCTCCTCCGCTCTTGGCCATCGCTGCTCTCATGCCTTTGATAGGCTACTCCTTTGGATATGTCCTCTCTGCGATCTTCAGACTCAGCCAGTCGTAGGTTCTTTGGCTTAATTCAGTCATCGAGTCAAGTCAAGGCAGTCACATCAAAGATGAAAGAATTATGAGCCTTTCTGTTTATATTCATGACTCATGAACATGTGTGTCTGTCACCAGGGAGCGGAGGACCGTTTCTGTGGAAACAGGCTGTCAGAACATCCAGCTGTGCATCACCATATTGAAGATAGCTTTCCCCCAGGAAGTGATAGGCCCTCTGTTTCTGTTCCCAATGATCTATGGGTCTTTTCAGGTGACGGAGGCATTGGTGCTCGTCGTGCTGTTCAGGTGCTACCGAAGGTTCACGAAAAAGGAGAAAGGTACATCAGGTTATCTAAGGCCTTTTATGACACAAGAAAAAACATGGGGAACAAACAGGGAGAGTAAACAAGAATAAGTTCAGCCTTGACCCTTTATAGTGTTGATGATTAATAACAGTTGTTAGTGGGCATTAATCTAAGCAAGGCAGATTTGATGTAAGCTTTTATTTTGTAGGTTATAGAGACCAATCTTGAACCTCTAATGACATACCCTCATTTGTTTCCTCATTTAATAGCATCAAAACTGACCTTTTATAAAGGTACATAGAACAGAGAGGGGTGTTTATTCTACTGTATATAATTTCCTTGTTATTCATCTGAACTAAAGATATTAAATATAAAACAGACTGGAGTCTGAATTACAAGTATGAGATCTTAGAATAACTTTTGTTAGTTTTTAAAACAAAGGCTGTTGTAAATGTTGGGAAGGACCAGTTTATACTTTAGTCATGCTGAAACACTGAAACAAGACTTTTCACCTTAAAAAAAACCAAAAAAACAATGTCACTAAAAATATAAGGTATGAAGGCTCTAATACAAACAGTAAAGCCTTGCATTTGTGTTTTTAAAAAATTGGAAGAATAGTGTTAAAAATACTTTTTGATGTGTAGCGCAAGGGAAAGCTGGACTTTTTTCCACAACATACTTTTTGACTTCTCATTACAGTAAAGCACAAATATAATTTTTCTGTCCTGTCAGCCAGCATGAAGTAGCTCTCTTAAACACTGTTGGTGCTTTTTTCTGCTTCCATGTGTCAAAATTGGCCTATTTTTTTATGTAGATGAATATCCAGACCACAGAGTTTCATATTTAACCACAAGTTGATCAACTTTTGTGCAAGATCTCGGTTTGTGTTTATAATGGATCTGCTTATTTGACTCACAGAGACTTACCAGCCTGCGGTCACTGAAGAGGAGCTGAAAGAGACGACTGAGGGGACTGTGTGACCTCAATCACCACCCATGTATTGTACAGCCTACAGCTGACTAAACAAACAGAAAAATGCACAGCCGTATAGCTGGTCTTGATTTTTATACTGTATTGTGATCTGAAACCTCTAAGTGCATTAGAAACTTCAGTTTTTTTATTGGTTAAGTCTATTGTCTTTCTACACCATGCAAACATCATAATAGTTTTGACTGAAAATAAAATCTTCATGTACAAAAATGTATTTTTACAAACTCATTTGAAGACTACATTTAAAAGTCTGCAATCTACACATGAATCCCAAATAAAAGCACAGCCACGCAATATAATGCAAGAAGGAACAGCATCCTTTAGTCAGTCGTAACTATGGCCATAAAAAGCATGAACATATGTGATTGCAACATTATAATTGCAAACATGTGCTGCTGCTAGTCCATTCAGAGCTTTTATTGTCACCAAGAGGGCCGTCTTCGTAAGCTGGAAAACAAAAAACAACTTGGACTTCTTACAGTGGAAGAATCTCTTTCTTTAGATCCTTGGAAAAAGCTCAACAAGTTCAACAAGAAATAATAAGTTATCATCAGTAAACTAACACATGTTTTTCCATTGCATAATGTGATTGCAATTTGATGATTGATGATTTTGCAGAGTGGTTTGTGATGAATCATCTGCTGAATGTAAATAAGACCAGACAGATTGTGATCAGCTTCAGAAGGAAGAGGACAGCTACAGAACCCATCACTGTCCTGGGACAGGATGATGCTGTGGTGTGACACAGGTATCATAGAGTATGTGTATAATAATGGGGTGAGCAAGGAAACAAATTTCTTAATTTAGAGGAGCTTATTGGGTAATAGTTGAGTAAAGGTCTCACTGATGTTAAACACGTTTTCAAGAGAAACCTGAGAGCTGCACCATGAAGCAGGTTCAGGTTAAAATCCCCAGTTATCAACTTCTTATTACTTGTTATCACTGGCTTCATGCTTCACATAAAACAGGGTGGCCTGTCGTTGGACTGTCATGTCTGCAACTTAAAAGAAACGGTGATAGAAGAATATGAGAAACATCAAGACAGCAAAACTGGATGCAGGACTGCTTTTTCTGGCCTGCTGGAGGGGAGGTGATTCAAGGTGACTCATTTTCTACATTGAATATTCACTATAATACCTCAAGTGTATGAGTTTTATTAACTGTAATACCAGCAATGTACAAAATATTTGTCAGAAATCTTTGGCAAATTAAAAAAAAATAAAAATGTGGAGGACAAGAGAAAACTGCAGCGGATGGTGAGGGCGGCAGAGTGGGCAACTGCCACTTCACTAACCCCCCTCAGAGTAGGGCTGTGCGATATGACCAAAATCTCATATCCCCATATAAAACATCTATCGTCCGATAACGATATAAATCACAAAAATGTAACATTTTCTGTAAATTCGGTGAATCTCGGGTAGCTGAAGTGTTTCCAGCTGGGCATCGTGCACTGTAAAATGTAATATTGTGTTTAATTAAAAATATTAAATAGGCTGAACTCAGTTTTTATCAATTTGTTATTAGAACTCGATTTAAATAAGTTACCAGTACTTTTTATGCAAACACGCTGATAAACTCAATTTATTTGAGTTATCTTAACTTAGAAAAACTAAGTAAGATGGAAGTTTTGCTTCTCAGTGCGGAAGGATGAAAGATGTGTTTTGAAAATGCCACGTGACTACTGTCCTCCTCCCTCTCGGATCAGTTCGCATGTTCATGGTGCCAGCATTTGTTATGGAATATGTTGAGCAAACCTGGA